TCATTCGATAGTGATGCCGGCCCCTTGCTCCATCCGCGCTGTAGCGTCCGGCTAGCCCCACTGCTGACCATAACCATTCGGTATCACTACCCTTCAGCCCATTTCCGTGCCCTCTCGAGTGGCGAGAGTGTTGCACTTTGCAAGGAACGCCGAAGAAGTATTTTACAACTCTTCAAAGGGCAAACCTGGGCAAACATTAACAAAAAAGTCCGCCTTGTTCAGAACGCTCTGATGTGCACTTTTTGGAAACTACATGTCTCCATTGAAGGATGAAAGCCAGGGCAACTCGCTAACCACTTAGAGCAGCGAAACGATAAGATTAGAAGCCTTCAATTTAGAGGGGAGGCAGAACCACATTCACATTGTATGAGAGTCGACTTAGGCGCAATTCTATCAGACTTTCACATCTTATTTCTTAGCACTGAAGAAGATTCGCCAGCAAATATGAAAAAATTGCGAAGTCGGAGGTCAAACCTCTCACCTGCTATTCTCATTAGTGTTGATAGTCAAAACACTGTCAGGAACAACCTGGTCAACCGAGTCATGAGCTTCCATATCGACATCCTCGATACCACAGGGTGGTTCGCCTGCAATTGGTGTCAAGGAATAATCATAAGACCAGAGCGATAAGGAATCACGGATTTGGTAGAAAGCAGAAAATGGATATAGCTGAGGCAAGAATAAAAGGTAAAACCTTGGTCATACTCAGCAGGATCGAAATCGTAATCGTCGTCACAAAGAACAGGAGGTTCCGGGCCACTGGGGATGACTACTGGCTTGGTATTACTGTTCTTACTCCTTAAAGAGGGACATTACAATCAAAAAGAACTATAATGCAGCAATCTTCTCGTAAACTGTGATATCCAGGAACAACTGACTCACCCTTTACTGCGTTCTGTTCCACTACCAGGTTCATTGAGTTCCTTACTCTGTCGCAACTCTCCACGAAGGACAGTTGTGTTTTGTGTTCTATAAAGCATTCTATAACATTTCTTGATCGCCAACGTAGTTGGAGAGAGGTACATGGCGGGACGACTAAAGCTATTTCTGCCATTTCCACAGGGATAGTGATCTCTCCCTTTATTCAGAATCAGACTTAGAGCGCGTTCATACTTCGCGATTCGATCGCCTGAAAAACGCGACCAGGACTAGGGCGCTCCACCGCTAGTCGGTAAACCGCTGCAACGGCAGAATTCAACTTCATGCACTGTACGAACGGGGTTTCAACCTGAATTTTGCCGTTACGTCAGTCTTTCAATTGGCGGTGGACCGCCCTCGGCCATGGTGGCTTGGGAGACAAGATCATGCGCCCAAAGCTCGAGTGATGCGACAGCGCAATCCAGCGGAACACAGAAACCACCGAGGATTCTAATCGCAACTACATTAGCGCTCATTCTTGAGCAATATGTGGAAGTAGCAACTGTGAAAAAGCTACCCTCGATATGAAATGATATCAAAATCCATTCACAAAACATACTTTG